ATCATTGTGATTTGTGATGCTCTGATAGTCTGATATTGGATTTTTTTTTCTTTTGATTTGTTACTGCGAAATGAATGCCGAAAAAGATTGAAGAAAAAATGACCTAATTATTTTCTCTCTCTCTCTATATATATATATATTACAACCTCCATAAATTAATAATCTTGCTTAAATAATAATTTTTTCTGGATCCGATTCGGTGTAAACATACTGAATTATTAGTTCGATAATTTAATATTTTGTTAAATTAATAGGACGTTGTTAGTCCCGAATTTATTAATTTATAGGAATTTAACTGCATTTGGTATTCGGTAAAAACCGAATTACCGGTTCGAGATCCAGTACATGTCAAATAGAATTATACGAAGAAGTTTATAATAAAATCTTGAATCTTGTGATAAAATAAATCCAATCTAAATATGTTCAAGACTATATATAGTTATTAAACTAGCAACATCGATATTGGGAACTTATGAATAAGAAGAAAAAAAATGAAAAAAAGGAATTATATAAATATAGAATTAAAGAAGTGAAATGATTTAAAGCATAACTTTAATCCTAAACAAGTAAGATTAATTCTTGCATTGTAGATGACGAAGATGTGGTGTAAGAACACGGTTTTCGACCCAAGCGGTCACCGATGTGTAACCGGCGACACAAGGCGGCAACAACGAAGTTGTGCCCTTATCTTCCAAGTCAAACATATAGAGAGATCTCTTATATAAGTCCGTATAATATATCGAATTAGCCTTTACTTTGTCCGAAGAGAGACAACAAAACCCACCACCGTCGTGACTTAGAAAAATTGCTCGTTCGTCTATAGAATCCAGTTCCACGCACTTCATCTGACGCAAATCTATTTGGAAAACTCTAAAGTCCAACCTATCGTCGGTATATTTGCACGAGTATAATTTTTGAACTAGAAGGAGTTCGACATTACTGCCACTGTCGCCTCCGCATAATTTTGGTGACTCAATCATCCATATGATGTTATAATATGGTGTTGAAAAGTCAACCGCTAACTCTGGAATGCGCCAAGGCTCATCCACCGTCATTATTGGCCTGAACTCGAGAGTTTTGCCCACAAAATGTATAGTTACAAACAGATTACAAGGGATCAACAAATCCGTAAATCTTACCTTGAAATGACCCTACCACCCTCAGTTTGCTCACTTTGCCATTGTCTTCTACTTTATATTCGTGGGAATACTCTTCGTCTCCAACTCGACAAAAGGATTGCTCCAACGTAGAAGCGGAATTGAACAAGACGTGGCAATCAAGTTCGGTGGGTGGCAGGGTTATAACTTGAGCCACTCCCAATCCCCGAGCGACCATAGGAGTCGATCTCAATGGACTTCATTAGTGCCTTGCCGACATCCGAGGGATCCGGATCTATCATGGTGGTGATAGATCGCTTTTCAAAATACGGGACGTTCATAGCTTACCCGAGGGATTGCACTGCGGAGGAGGCAGCCCGGTTCTTTTTCAAGAACGTCGTCAAGTATTGGGGATTACCGAGGAGCATTATAAGTGATCGAGACCCCCGCTTCACGGGACGACTATGGACGGAGCTTTTCAAACTTTTGGGGTCCGAACTTTGCTTCTCGACGAGTTTCCATCCCCAAACCGACGGGCAAATGGAGAGGTGAACGCCCTACTTGAGTGCTACTTACGACACTTCATTGGAGCCAATCAAAAGGATTGGGCGAAGCTCCTCGACGTGGCTCAATTTTCTTACAACTTGCAACGGAGTGAAGCCACGGGGAGGAGTCCATTCGAGCTTGCAACGGGACAACAACCGCATACGCCGCACACTTTGGCTACGACAACCGATGGAAGAAGTCCCGGAGCATTGAAGATGGCTAAGTCGTGGGAGGAACAAGCCGACTTAGCCCGGGCGTGCCTTGAGAAGGCTAGGCGACGAATGAAGAAATGGGCGGACGACAAACGGCGACCACGGGAATTCGACATTGGGGCCCAAGTGATGGTGAAACTATTGCCCCAACAATTCAAGGCATTGCGGAGCATGCACAAGGAACTTGTGTGGAGGTACGAATGACCATTCCCGGTGATCGCCAAAGTCGGCAAAGTTTCGTATCGCCTAGAACTTCCAAGTTCTTTGAAAATCCACCCAGTCTTCCATGTGAGTATGTTGAAGCCATATTACGAGGACAAGGAAGATCCGAGCCGAGGAGAGTCACACCGAGCATCACCAATCATGACTAAGTCATATGATAAGGAGATCGAGGAAGTGCTCGGCCGACAACTAAAGCGACGTAGGGGTGTTCTACCGAGTATCCAATATCTCATCAAATGGAAGGGACTACCCGAGTCCGAGGCAACGTGGGAGACTAAGGAAGACTTGTGGCAATTTCAAGATCGTCTCCACTTGTTCGAGGCAACGAGGACGTCGCCGGATTAGGCGGGGGAAGATGTCACGACCCGCTAGTTTTGGCCCAACCTCTTGCCAGTTTCCCTTGGGTTGGGAGGTTAGGAAGCCCAAGATTTAGCCCAAATAGGGTTAGGCCCAAGAGTGGCCCAAATGTATAGAGAAGTAGAGATTCTTGGAGGATTCTAGAACCCTCTCTTGTAGATATTTTTGTATGAATTCTTTGGAGCGTTCTAGTGAACCACTCCCAACCGTTAGATCAAATAGATCTCGACCGTCCATTAAGGAGGTGGTCTAGTATAAATAGAGGTAGGGTCCTCATTTGTAACCATCAACAAGAATCCAAGAAATCCAACAAGCACTTAAGCAATAAAAGTACTTTCCTACAAACTCTTTTATCTTCTTAAGTTCTTCTTTCGTTTTCCATCACTTAACATTCGCAACACTTTCGGGAGAGGCTGACTTAGCTATCGCGAGGGGCGAGAAGGAGCTAAGGCCGCACGGTTCATTGTTAAGGGAGAGACTGACTTTCGCAACACTTTCGGGAGAGGCTGACTTAGCTATCGCGAGGGGCGAGAAGGAGCTAAGGCCGCACGGTTCATTGTTAAGCGAGAGGCTGACTTAGCTATCGCGAGGGGCGAGAAGGAGCTAAGGCCGCACGGTTCATTGTTAAGGAAACAAGTCCGTGACAGGCAGCTGCTTTCTTGGCACCTGCGTCTCTCCGTGATTTGGTTAGCCACTGGATACGGTTCGAGTCCACTTCCTCAATGTTCTCGTTTACCACTCGAACCGCCGCTGCATTGTTGTCGATTCCACCGCACTTTTTAGAATGACAATCGATGAAGCTTTCGTCTCCGTAAATACTCCTCTCGCAGAAGACGCACTGCGAAGGCACCATCTTGCCTAGGTGGTACAGGCTTTGGTAAATAGGTTGTTTCTCCCTCTTCACCATCCTGAAATTCATATTAATTTGAGTTATCAGATTTTTTTTCTTTTTCTTTTTTTTTTTATACAGATTTATACCTGTAAATCTAAAATCCATATAATCTAATATCTAAAATAAATATTAAAAAATCTGGAATTTGGTCCTCTCTTAGTTGAAAAGACCAAATTACCCCAGGAAACAAAGCAAAAGACCAGAATCCCAATTTTGATTATACCAATTTAAATATTATTCATCTTTTTGGGTTTTAAAGTATATTCTTTAATTCAGTTCAGCATATCATTTTTATCTTAACATATTCTGTACGCATACCTGGAAATCTAAAATTTACAGATTTATCTTCTTCTTCTTTTTCCCTAATTTATTTGATGAATGTACTTATTTACGAATTTGTATCTGTAAATCTGAAATTCATATAATCCAAGATCTAAAATAAATAAATGAATAATCTGGAATTTTAAAATCAACAATGCAAGGGGAAGAATATGTTCTCACTTTGCAGTTTCTGGAGTTGCGTGATCTTGAAGAAACCTGCAACACAGAATTTTTTGAATTAGGTTAAATTTATAATTAGAAATCGAAATGAAAATTGGAATTAGGGAATCTGAAACAGATAATTGATTGTATTAATGAAATCTGAAACAGAGAATTGTGTGTATTAATTAGATTAAACAAGTAATTAAAATATCTTGAAGAGAAATTGAATTTGAAATGAAGAAAGGGTTCTGCTTACTTGATAATTCTTTGATCGCAGAGTGCGCAGTGGGATTTTGTGTCAGGGTTTAACGAAAGTGGGTGTGGGAGATGAATATACTGTTATGAGTTAAAATAATTGCTCAGACCCCCCTTTGAATTGTGTAATTGTTGGAAAAGACTCTATGTTAAACAAATTGGCATTTGCACCCCAATGTTGTGTTTTATAGGGCTCATTGGCCCTTAATGGGATGAACATTTGAACCATTCTCAACCAAACGTAGAAATTCCATGCCCGTGGTTGACCCGTTTATCGTTCCCTTATGTGATACGGGGAAACGAGCACAGGAAAACGGTATATCTCAAACATATGGATACAAGAGCTTGGGGAAATGTGTAAATACGAAAATTATAGGGGTATATTTATAAATATGCTATATAAATATATACATATAAGTTTTTCATACGAATTATTTTTATATATTTTCTTAAAAAAAATATTCGAATTTTTTTTTTTTTATTATCAACTATCAATTTACAATTAATCAGTATATCGTGTAAATAATTAGTGAAGCAATAAAAATATTTAAAAATTTGCTATTCAAACATGTTTCTAAATCGTTAGAAATTGCAAAATGACCTATCCGACTGGTCGTGTCCTCAAGTGTCCGAAACGCGGAAATGTTAAGAAGTTGAAGTTTTCGTGCTACATAGGTGGCTAGCCATCGAACATGTTTTATTTGTATAAATGAATTCGAGTTTATCATACATTTATTTATATATATCAACTCTTAGACTAAAATCGTATTATATATATATATATATATATATATATATATATATATATATATATATATATATATATATATATATATATATATATATATATATATATATATATATATATATATATATATATATATATATATATATATATATATATATGTGTGTGTGTGTGTGTGTGTAATTTTATTATTTGAAAATCAATAGTACTTTTGAATTTATAGAGCAGATGTAAATTGTATTGATACAAATTAATTTATTGATTAATGCAAATTCCCAATTATTTATTGTGCTCGATAAATCAATATTTTTTTTAAAAAAGAGTCCAAAATATATTTAACAAAATAATAATTAAAAAAAAAAGTGTTATTATATCTTATTGAGTGATGACTCATCCTACGTAGTACATGTGAATTTCTTTCAAAAGAACATGTCATGTGGGCTCACGGCCCAATTTAGCATCAATGTTTTTGGTGCCACGTACGTATGTTGCCATATTTTGTGGATTAACAAATTTTATTACTTTTATTTTCTTTTGGGTTATTAATTAAAAAAATAAATTAAAAAAAATTAAACAAATTGTAAAAAGAGGAGATAAAGGTCGAAAATTCATAGCTAGATGTGCTAGGAGGATATAATTCATTTGTTGGTTTAGTAGTGGATCAAATTATATGCTAGATTTACTATGAATAATAGGCAACCGAAAAATGGAAGATAAAAAAAGAATATTAAAAAATTACAAAAACGCCATTAGAATTTCTTAAATCGGGTTTTCCTAGTGTTTATTACTTTTAGATGTAAGATACTCTCATATTGTTAAATCAGTTTATTTTACCGCTACACGAACATTGTTTTCATTCTACAAATATTTCGTTATAATTCTTCATTTTCAAATAATTAAAAAAATAATAAAAATAAATACATAGAAATCGTTCTTATATAATTTCTTGAAATTTGAAAATCGCAATTATGTAAAATAATTAGATCTACCTTATTTTTTTTGGTACTTAAATGTCATTTTCGTAATAATGTATAGGAAATCATAGTGGATGTCATGTCATGATGATGATGACTTGCCAAATACTCACCAATTATCGTGATGCAACAATACACTAAAATAGATTGAAATTCAAGAATCAAAAGATAGGTCCCAAAAGGTGAATATAAATTTAGCTAATATAATTTATTGGATATATATTTATTATAGTTCTATGATTTTATATTTTAAAAATATTTAACTAAATATATATACATAGCTAATATTTAGATTTTCGAGTTGGAGTGGAAATCTCGCGAAAAAATGGTACCACATGCACCGAACATAATGTTAGAGTAAATTACAACCACCCTCCCCAGGTAAAGTGTAATTAACGAAACCCCTTATTTTGTAAAAAATATACCAGCCCCCTGTAGTTTGAAAATTTCTTACAACCACCCTCTACAAAAGGGTGTTAATATAAGATATCAACAAATTGCAGGAAGTAGATTTAAATATATAAAAATGAAGGGTTTTTTGTATATAAAATCTCGTGAAAATGATACCACGTGCATTGTGAATAATGTTAGGGTAAATTACAATCACCTCCCTGGGGTAAAATATAATTAAAGAAACCTCTTATTTAAAAAAAAAAATTACATCCAGCCTCCTGCAATTTGAATTTTTTTTACCTCCAACCCCCTTTAAAAGGGTGTTAATATAAAAAATCTACAGATTAAAGGGGTGAGTTTAAATATATAAAAATGAGGGTTTTTTTAGTAGATAGACCCTAACTAAGGGGGTGATTTTAATTTACCCAATGATGTATGATAGTGTTACATGGTGGTCCATTACAAGTTGCAACCCCCACACAACCCTACAAGAAACAATGACACATTAAAACATTGAATAAATCACAAAATTAATGAGGAAGTCAATTTGATATAAATATATAATACATTAATTCTTGTCGGTTTGAAAATGTTCAATATTGTTAATGTAATATTTGAACCATGTTTGACCTTCTTTAGGGAATATTTTTATAATATTATTTAATTTTAAATAATTAAAAGGAAAAAAATTAAATTATTTGCAACAGATGTGAGCGTGACTGTGCAGTAAATTACTTTCTTAAAATAAAAATAAATTAATTATTTTCTTTTCTTGTTTTTTTTTTTTTCTTTTTTTGCAGATAATTAGGGCAACCGAACATCATAGTACGTGTCAGATTATTAAAGTTGGACGCCAAAAACCCAAAATCTAGTATAGTGACATATGGCGCCAAATTCGGCGCCCAGGGAATTTCACCTCACACATAAACCCACCCTCTGTCCTGTACGTGAACCTCACGCGGAATATCTGAAAAAATATTTGGGTAAATTACATCCACCTCCCTGAGGTAAAGTGTAATTACGAATAAACTCCTTATATTTTGATAAATTACATTCAACCCTCTATAGTTTGTAAAGTTCTTACTTCCACCTCTTACAAAAGGGTGTTAGTGTAATAAATCTACAAATTACAAGGAGGTGGATGTAATTATGGAAAAGTAAGGGGTTTTTTCATTAATAGACCTTACCTCAAGGGGGTTATTGTAACTTACCCTAAATATTAACTTCATCTTACTTTTGATAAGCCACCAAACTTTTTAACTGACACATCACTATTGGAACGAACTTTTTGAATTTCGTCGATTTAATTGTTTTTTTTTTTTTTTTGGATTGAACAATAATTTTCATTTTGAATTCCAAAAATCCTTTTCCAAAAAGAAATGCATACAAGATTTGATTTTTAATCCAATTTTAGTTTTCAAAAAAATCAATTTTGTTTCCAAAAATTTCGCTTACAATATCAATTTGATTTATATTTACATTACATGTAAATACGAAATTGGATTTTGATTTCTAATGATTTCAATCATGAAAATTCCTTTTCTGCAGTGATTTTTTCTCACAAAATACTTCAATGTATTGTATTGATTTTTTTAGATTTTCAAATTTAGAATAAGTTTTAACTTTCGAAAATAATATTCTTTTGTCACCTACTCGGACGTAGTAATTAGGTATCACTAAATTGGTAAAATAAATCATAAATTGATTAAATAGGTAAACTTTATACGATATTTAGGTTGTTAAACAATACTCCCCAATTCCTTTATAATTATCGTTTTTAGCTTGTGTACAAGGATTAAGAATCTCAATAAATGTTGCTTAATTTTAGAAAAATGTATGTTCTTATACTAAAATGCCCTTACCAATAATTAATGTGAGAGAGTGTTGGAGATAGTTAATAAGGGTAAAATTGATAATTACACAATTAATGCAGTGTTGGAAATGTAAAGTGACAGATAATATGAAATAAAAATAATTTTAAAAATAGATAGTTATTGTGGAACAAATGGAGTATTTATTTATTTTTTAGAAAATTTATATTTTTTTATTAGACATTCGTTAATTCAATCATACAATTAACTTACAAAAAAAATATATAATCTTATACGGAATAATCTTAATATAAAAACCAAATAAGGCCTTGTATATTGATAATAAATTAGGAGCGTAACAGCGACGCGGCACAAAAATCGCGTGATAAGTACGCTCTCTAGAGCCCATTGCTTTCACGAGTTTTACCCATAGAATAATAAAAACCGTAACCCACCTCCTCCTTATCTCAACCAACGGCCGGTTCACCACTTTTCCGGGTTACACCCTACACAGTCCCTGTTATTTACGTAACTGCCACCGCCACCTCCACCTATATAAGCGTTTCTTCAGTTGTGAATAGGTTTGCCGAAATCAAGAGCCAAACGCAACTCCTGAAAATCCACTTTTTTCCTTTTTTTTATTTTTTATTTTACAGAGAGAATTTAAAAAAAAAGTGAAGGTACAACCAATGGAAGCGTCTTCGAGAAACAGATCGTCACAAGGTACAACATTCCACAGCCACTTGCAACGCTCCCTCTCTCCGTCGGGTAGATTCTGCTCCTCCTCCATCTCCACCTCATCTACCACCACCACCGCCTTCGCCGCCCGATCCGATTCCAGACCCGACCCGATTCTCACCCGCTCCACCAGCCCTACCCGCGTCACCCTTGGCAGATCCGTTTCCCCTTCATCGTCGATTCGATTCTCCGCCTACAGAAAGCCACCCGATCGCCGCCGCCGCCGCGCACCACCACCACCACCAGAAGCAGAGCCACCGCTCGTTGAAGTCAGGACCGAAGAGGACGTGCATGTGTTCCCCTACGACGCACCCAGGGTCCTTCCGGTGCAGCCTCCACAAGAGCAGCGCCGCCGCCGCCGGGTACAGCAATCATCCGTCGTCGTATCGGTCGAGTCATCAATTGAATATGAGGCGATCGGCGATGACGAATTCCTTGGTCCGAATCGGAACGGTGGAGGGGGATTTGGTGAGGAGAGCTCTGGCGGCGTTGATTCGGCCGTCGTCACACAACTTGCGCCGCCGATTCGATTTCCAGCCGCGGCCGAGCCGGCTTTCTGTGATGTCGAAAGCCGACGGCTTATAGCGTCAAAACACACTTTTGCCCCTTTGTGTTCGTGTACAGAGTCGACTCGCTGAGTTGATACACTGAGTTGGACTCGGGTGGTTTAGCCGATTTTTGTGGCTGTGGAAATCCCCTCATTTATGAGTTCTATCGTAGTACAAGAACTCGAATGATTCTTCCCTTTCCTTTTTTTATTTTTTTATTTTCTTCTGTTACTATATGATATGATGATAATACACTGTTGTGTTAAATTTGGAAATTATTTGAATTAAATATAAATTTAATTACATATCATTTCTGGTTAATTTCTCCTCTTTTACCACATGCTTTAAAAGCATGGTTTAAATTTTAAATAAAATATATTAGGCATTTAAGTAGTCTTGGTAAATTTGCAAAAATCTAATATTACAATAACTATCAACTCGAAATGTAACGCATATACTGTGCAATAACTCATAACTCGTAAACCGCATGTAGAAGATACTAGATTAAACTTGTGACGAGTTTTCGATCTAAAAAGTGTTCAAAAAATAATTCCATTGTACTATCCTATTTAATTTTGTTGATTTGGTATGTACACGAGAATCTCGATAAATTAGTATCCTTCTTTTAAATAATATTTTTTTCAATCATGCTCGGTAAGACCGGGCTATATCATTAAGTCCATAATTTAATATTTTGTGAAATTAATAGAGTTTTCTAATTTCAATTATACTGACTTATGGGGATTTAACTGTACTAATCAGCAGAATATAAGGCCGCGTTTGGGAAAAAATATGTTCCCAAAACTGGAAACAAATGGGCTAAAAGTAGAGAGCTAAAATGAAAGTGGTCTACGTTAATTAGATACAGAACAAATGTAATTAAATGAGTAAAATAATTGGACTGTGTGACTCATCAGTTATGCTTTGATTTTAATTTATTTTATAGCAATTTGAAAGAAAAAAATGCAATTAAATAGTAACCATAATATGAAAATAATTGAATCGAGTAGAGGTGGCAACAGCTGCTGATAATGAATGAGAGAATTTAAATCAAGAAATTGGGTGGGAGCATGTGAGGTGGAGGCCCATGTTTGATGGGAAGGGTACAATATATTTAAATAAATAAACATATATATAAACATATATATACTTATTAAGTTATTAATATTATCATCACACCACCCATTATCAACCATATTGTTATGGGTGTTTACTTGGTCGCTAAATTGATTGATTCGAATCAAAATCGAAAATTTGGTATGTGTGAAATATCGAATCAAAAATCCAGTTCGGTAATTGATACGGTATACGGTATTGATGTCTGCTATGCCGAACTATACCGAATACTGAAATATTTAATCAATATTTATTTTTGTTCTTTTTATTTTAAATTCTTGAATATAACACATTATAAAATACTTTTAGATTGATATTTTTTTCAATTATTTACAAAGTAGTCTCTATTAATGATCACTTTTCGTTATTAGGGTCGATAATTGAAATTTGAATGTCAAATTCAAGAATTAATTTATTTAAAGATATAACTTTACATTTTTTAAATACGAAAATTAATTTCAGTTTGCCCGGTACCTAACCAAAAAGAAAAAAACGTACAAACTGAATAGTTCGGTACGATAAATGATACAAATTTTTGAAGTATCTAAACTTCGATTTACCAAAATCCCGCTAAGGTTCGATGCGATACTACTGAATGAGCACTCCTACAAATTGCTTGATTATGTTGCGGTGCGACAATAGATCATAGATCTGTAATATACTAGCGAATTAAAATTTGGGCAATAATTTATTGGTGCTAATCAAAGATGGGTTAAATGATTGAATAGCAAATCAAAATGAAATTGATGAGTGAAAATAGGGTATTGTTTAGTCGAAGTTTATACAAATAGTATTTTAATTGTGAGCAGAATCTAACAACAACTTGGAACATCGTGTCACGCGAATATTGAAATCAATTATTGCCATAAATGGCTTTTTGTTACAAATCAAATATTTTAACTTATGTATTAATTATGTGTACAAACTGATAGATTCCCAAAAAAACAAAATTAAAATTAAAATTAAAGTCTTAAAATAGAAGTAAACAATAGTAACTGGCATTTTTACAATGCATGTGTTTGTTATTTTTGTAATTGATACTAATGGACCTATATTTAGACAACCCAATGGGCAAAATTTGATGGGCTAAATGTGACAGAAGCCCAATTGATTTATGTTATTGTGTTTTAATACATCAAGACCCCAGGACCGTTATTTATATTGAACTAATTTGTGTTAGATTAATTTTTTATCGACTAATTCATTATTTAATTAATAAAATATTTGATTCTTTAGATTATAATTGTATTAAATCTGTTAACTATAATATTTTATACGATTCTTCTATAAAACATTTTATTTAAAAAAAAAATTAACATTAAATTTCAATGATAAAAAAAATATTTTCTTAATTTAGTCACTCCTATAAAATTAATAATAATACAACTCATTTAATAAAATAATAGAATTTAATTGCAAACTCGACGATAGAAAAGTGGTAAAGGGTGATGTGGACTGTGACTTCGGGTCCACACTCAGTCGATGCAATGCAACGTAAATTTGGCCCACATATTATTACTGTTTTATAGATGCTATATTTGGTGTAGTAACTACAAACAGTGAATTATTAGGGTCTTTGTAGATGCTATATTTGGTGAAATCAATCGGGTGTTCTTAAACCATTGATCAACCCATATTCATGCATGTGTGAATTTAGTGAGTAGTTATTTATGCAGGTGTACGTTTTAAAACCACCCCATGTGTTACACCAGATGTAGCAGATAATAGAGGCACACTTTACCTAACTTTAGTGGTGACATCAGCAAACTACGATTATAAACTAAATTAAGCTAGGGTTCCTACAAGTTGAAATAAATATCATTTTTATTTATTTATTTAATTTAATTATTTGTGTTGTTAATAAAGTAAGCATAAATAACTTTGAATTAAGAAACACAAACACGAGAGCCAAAAGGAAACATCCGTGCAATAAAAATGCGCATATTTTGGATCCTCCAATGTCAAGAAGAATTTCATTGTCCTAACCCAATTTCAACACGTCTCTCTCTCTCTCTCTCTCTCTCCTCTTTCTCTCTCTAGAAAATCTCCACTCCATACACAGTCCAATTGACACTCCAGACGAAAAATCCGGAGAAAGAGAGAATCTAATCTAATGGTAGTCCTGAAAGCAGGGAGCAGACCGCCGTGGGTGGGGTTAGGCGCCGCCGTTTGGGTGCAAATCGCCGCCGGAAACGCCTACACTTTCCCTCTCTACTCTCCGTCGCTGAAATCAGTTCTCGGCTTCAATCAGCAGCAGCTCACCATCCTCGGAGTGGCCAATGATATCGGAGAGAATGTCGGAATTCTTCCCGGAATCGCCTGTAATAAGTTCCCTCCTTGGGCTGTTCTCCTCGTCGGCGTTTGTGCTTCTTTCTTCGGTTACGGCGTTCTTTGGCTCGCCGTTAGCCAGTCCGTTCAATCAATTCCATATTGGCTCGTAAGTAATTTACTGTTCAATTTTTTTATTTTTTCTTCTTAATTAAATCTAAGTTCTAATTTAGCCCTTTTTTGTATTTGGATCTTAATTTTGGGTTTTTGTACTTTATTGGAATTAACATCAATTCCGTTTCTAGCATGGATCTGTTAACATCGTACAGTAAAAAAAAAAAACATAGTAATTGAGAAACCTCGTACTTGTCTTTTGACTTCATTTTCATGAAGCTGTTGTTTGATTTGTGTGTGTGGTGAAGTTTGAATTTTGCCCAAATTTGGAAACCCTAAGATTAATCTGTCTCTAATTCTTCATTGTTATTAAAGAATTATGTTACTAAAACCCGATTTTATCTCCGTTTAACTTTTAGAATTTCGACGATGCATTAATTACTATTTTTTCCAATTCCGCCCCGTATCACTCTTAATTAAGTTGATGTAGAATTAATGAAGATAAAATTAGCGATAGGGGTATTTTGGTCTTTTCGTCACACCATATATTTCTCCCTAAACCATAGTTTTCTTAATATGTGCACCGCAGTTATGGTTAGCACTATGCATCGGCACAAACAGCAGCGCATGGCTCGGTACAGCTGTCCTCGTCACAAACATGAAGAACTTTCCGGTCAGCCGAGGGACAGTCGCCGGAATACTCAAAGGCTACGTCGGCTTGAGCGCCGCCGTTTTCACGGAGGTCTACACGATGGTCCTTAGCGGCTCAGCCTCGAAGCACCTCCTCCTCCTTACCCTAGGAATCCCGATTATAGGCCTTGTAATGATGTACTTTGTCCGCCCGTGTACGCCAGCTTCCGGTGAAGACTCGACGGAAAACGGCCACTTTCTCTTCATCCAAATCGCCAGCCTCACGCTCGCGGTCTATCTCCTCGTGACGACTATATTAAAAGACTATTTTGCCCTCGGAGACAATATCTCGTACGTGTTTATTGCGGTTATGGTTGTTCTCTTGATGGCTCCGTTAGTTATCCCGTTGAAGATGACTTTGTTCCCCGCGAATATCAAGAAGCTTCCGGAAGGTTCGGATGAAACGGAGCCACTTATGACACCGTCTTCGTCGTTGACTAATCTCGGGAGCTACTACGAATCCGAGGATGTTTCGGAGGTGGATTTGCTGCTTGCTGTCGGAGAAGGGGCGGTAGGGGAGGTGAAGAAGAAGAGGAAACCGAGGAGAGGGGAGGATTTTAAGTTTCGTGAGGCGGTTGTGAAAGCCGATTTTTGGCTTTTGTGGTTCGTTTATTTTCTTGGAGTTGGTTCGGGTGTGACGGTGCTTAATAATTTGGCTCAGATTGGTGTTTCGCTCGGTGTGGACGACACCACGATTTTGTTGAGCTTGTTCAGCTTTTGCAATTTCTTGGGCAGGCTCGGCGCCGGAGCTGTTTCCGAACACTTAGTGAGGTCAAAAAGATTCATTTTTTTTTTTAAATTTCCATCGATGAAGCCTCGTATAAATAAAACTTGTACGAGAAAATGTCTTTTACGTCTTTCGGTTCTTACCACCGGCTAACGTGTCTCTAATTTATTTTCATTTGCAGGTCGACAAAAACCATCCCTCGAACATTTTTAATGTCCGTAACACAGCTAATAATGATCCTAATATTTCTCCTATACGCCTCCGCCCTAAGCAGCGTCACGCTCTACGCCGCAACGGGGTTGCTCGGAGTTTGCTACGGCGTACAGTTCGCCGTAATGATTCCAACGGCCTCCGAGCTCTTCGGGTTAAGACACTTTGGCATAATCTTCAACTTCATGCAATTAGGAAATCCCGTCGGCGCCCTTCTCTTCTCCGCCCTGCTGGCAGGCCAGGTGTACGACTCCGAGGCTGCCAAGCAGACGGGCCCCAACTGCATGGGCCCGAATTGCTTCCGGGCCACGTTTCTTGTCTTGGCGGGTGTTTGTGGGCTGGGAAGTTTGTTGAGCGTGGTTCTTACGATAAGGATAAGGCCAGTTTATCAGATGCTTTATGCAGGTGGATCTTTTCGTTTGCCTCAAAGCTCTTCCGGTCATTGATTATTCCGGAAGTTTCTTTTGTGGGTCGCGGTTTTTTATAATTATTATTGAGGTAAAAGGCTTAATTTTTTCTAATATGCCTAATGCCGATTGTTGTATGAGAAATAAATGTGTTTTAGATAATCTAATAATTGATTTTACTGTTTAAATCGTTGTGTAATGGTATGTAACTTAAAAGATCGTTCGACTGTATGATCCGATCGAGCGAGAATTCGAATAAATTATCAAATATAATTCGGCAGAGGCCTTTGTTTTCTATTGCAAGTGTTGTTTTTTTTTTCTTCTTAATTAATTGATTTTTTAGCTTGTTGTCTTGGAGCCGAGACCTGAAAATAGATATTTAATCGAGATTATTAATTTATCGAGAAGTACACGAAATTCTATAAAAGAAATAAGGCCCAAATTAATCAAACAACTTTAATTATGACACAAAAGAAGTCATCACTCTTGCAAGAAAGCAAGGGAGACAAATTCATTACTCCTACATAGTAAAGATCCTCAACTGGATTTTCACTATTCACCACAGTCCACAAACCCTTTTGTGGGGCCCACTAATTAGTGGAGAAATAAAAAAGAAAACAAAAAATATTAAATAGAAATTAAAAAATATTAAAGAAAAAGAAAATAAAATAAAATAAAATCTCCAAGCCATGGTGGAAGAGCCTAAAAAACAATCTCCCACGCCATTCAAATTCACTAATTAATCAATTAATTAAAAAAAAGAAAAGAAAAAAACATTAATTAAAATTAGAAATGTATTTTTTTTTTTCAAGTGGGTTTCAAGTTCTGAAACATGGTATCCCATCTGATCTCCTCCACGGCGGAGGACCAGTACTCATCGGCATCTCCGCCGTCGTCCATTTTACGATCACCGTCGCCGCCGTCTCTTTCTTCGAGCTGATCACGGCTCAAAGGGCTTGAGAAACTGTTGATTCTCGAGCCGCCGTGGAACAGCATCCGCGGGCTCCCATTCGTGAGCAGAAGAGGCGGCTGCCGCCGCCGCTGCTTCTCGTTCGCCACCGCGAACCTCTTGCTCCTCTTCACAATAGAATTCCGGTGGGGGACGACGACGGCGAGAGCCGACGACGATTCCTCGCGGCGGCGGCTGCGGAGCAAGGGCTGGACGTACTTGGAGAAGCACCTCTTGGTTCGGGCGACGGCGGCGATCAAGATTCTGGACATGTGGTGGTGGGGCGGGATGGCGGCGGCGCCCTTCTTTTCTTTTGCGGCGAGTTTGAGGATTTCGAGGCGGTGCTTGGCAATGAAGATGCCCATGCTTTGGAGGAACTCGTGGTTGAAGTAAACGACGTCGTCTCGCTCGAGCTCGTTCTGTGCGAATGTGAGGCCGTACTCGTAGACTAGGGTTGGGTCTAGTTCTGTTTTTGATAGCCAAGAGAACCAGTCCATGTGTGTAATCTTGTGCGTGTAGTGTGTGTGTGTGTGTGTGTGAGAGAGAGAGTGTGAAATGAGTGTGTTGGAAACAATGGTGTGTGGAAGTGTTTGTAGACGACACATATATGAAGGTGTGTATATATCACTAAAGTGAAAATTGACTTGCTTTTTATTCTTTATTTTGATTTTGTTATATTTAATTTATTTTGATGATCTTATTTAGATTTTCTCTTTAATGGGGGTGGGAGTGGGGGGTAGGGGTGGTTGAAACTTGAGAATGACTAAAATAAAAAG